ATGTTTTCGATTTAGTGTGCGGAGGATTGATAATATTACGGGCGTTGCGTTGTGAAACAAAAAAGCTGTTTGGCGGGGCGAAATCGTTGAATTTTTTCCTTTCCTTCCCAATTTTAAGGAAAAAAGTAGGTCTAATTTTGATTTCAATCCTTCTACTATGCATAAATATAACATTTAATCTTTTTATGTTCTATTTACAATAAGTTCAGAACATGTCTAGATTTTAACTCGTAGATACTTATTATTAGATCCACTTTATTTTTCAGATAATAGGGTTTAATATTTTCTATTTAAATTTCTTTTAATTTTGTTAATAATCATTATATATTTGCAACATGCATAAACTTTGATGATGTAGTTGTTTGAATTCAAATTCTCTAGAAATAATAAAATTTCCTTTTATTATCGAGATCAATAGTGGATCAAAAAATATTTTTTAGAGTTGACACATATATATTGATAAAAAAATTATGTGAAATGAGCATAAATAACATTTCATGGTGAATAATATTAGTAAAATGAACAACTAACATAAATAAATTCATATTTCAAAATAGACACGTGTCTACCCTAAATTATACTCGAGTTCTCCAATGACAGAGAACACTGAATGTATTCAATAATGATATCAATTAAATTCATTAATAGTATTAAAAAAGTTATAGAAGTTCAATTATGTTAAATTAAATTATTAAGAATAGATCATAATTTGAACATAATAGAGGAACTAAAGTTGTAATTAGACCGAGTTGATGAATTATGTAACTAAATTTTTCGGTTGAAGGAAAAAGGTATGGATCGTGAGTGGTGGGTGGGGTCCAGTGATCGGGTGAGATGGTCCATGCGGCGTCAGATACATGGGCGCTTTCAGGTGAAAATTACAGCCCCCACTAAACTTTTTCTTTGGCACCCAACATTTGTCCTCTTAAGTTACATCGAAAAGAAAAATGTTCCAAAAATTAAACACAATTTTATCTTTATTTTTAAATTTTTCTGATTGCCGTAAGTCTTTCACGGAAGCTGCTCTTAATCTGACGTTAGGACAACCTACTATCCTATCTTCCCTAATCTATTAAATATGAAAATAGGGTTTTATTGTTGTTGTGTTAATATGATTTTATTAAAATTTACTATCCAAATTTTATTATAATTTGATTTTAAAAAATTATGTTATAATCATATTAATCAAGAAACGATAATTATATGAAGAAAAAAATAACTTAGACAAAAAATCACAATTTACATATCTTATTTTCAATTTTATTTCTCGTCAGTGTGATTTTAATAATAATGATATATTATTATATTAATTTCTAATATATTATTTATTACACTAGTAAACATTGGAAAGTTTAAATTGTTTAAATAATTATTTTTTTCAAATAAAACATTAACATCTTTGTCGGGTGAGTCCGAAATTCGACTTCGACTTGGAATAAATATTAGGAGTCGTCACCGATCATTTATTTTTCGTAAAAATTTGGTTGATCGGATACCATCTTACATGATCTGCGTTTTTACCATAAATATGTCGGGCTCGGGAGTCGGTTACAGTTAAGGAAGGATTAGCACCCTTGAACTGCCCTTTCGGTACCATTTAATTTATCGGTTGTCTTAATTACGAAAATTGAAATTTAAATTAAAATTAAAAAATTCGATCATAATTATTTACCTTTTGATCAATTAAAATTATCCCTAAAAATCATAAATAAAGTTGCAAAATAAAACATACAAAAATAAAGAGTTAGTATTAAGATCGAAATAAAAAAATAAACATGGATCAAAATACAATAAATACATGAGCCTGAATTGTAATAAAATATAATTATATAGATTAAAATGCAAAAATATATAAGATAATAGCTAAAATGAAAATAAACAAAGATAAAAAAATAAGAAAAATAGTACCAAATCAAAAATAAATAATTACTAAAATAAAATAAACATAAAATAAAGTGTCAAAATTAAAAATAAACAAAACAGAAAATATAACATGTTAGTGACTAAATTAAAACTAATGAAATTAAAGTACCAAAAAATGAAATAAATAAAATATAGAATTTTAGGGACTGAAATATAAAATAACAGCAACATTTGATGGGGTTTAACGCAATTTGTACGCATATATTTGGGGTCATTATGCAAAATACGGTAGGAATTGAGAGTACTTGAATGCGAATCACCCAACACTTTAAGCGACCAAAGTAAAAGATAACTAAAATATAAGGACTCTAAGTTAGATTAAACCAAAATATAAAATAAAACACTCCTCCTTCATTTCATTTCCAGAATGCGTGAAACCCACAAAGCATATCCCTCCATTTTCTAACGGCTAAATCTACGAGATAATGTGTTGGAATTATTTATTTCACGTAATAAAGTTCTCCCAAGATTAATTGTTGAAGTAGGGCGAATTGCACAGTGTTGGCCGTAGGTCGTCATGCCTTCCAGGCGACCTACGATGTGGCAGCTTCAGAAGTCCCATACACAACCCAACCCATAGGTCGCCATGCACTCCGGGCGACCAAGGAGGTCGCCATGCACTTCGGGCGACCAAGGAGGTCGCCATGCACGCCCGGCGACCTTGTCTCCTTGCATGGCCATGTGATATTTATGCACGTCCCGCTCTATGGATGCAACGCGTGTATGAGGGAGCAGAGGGTTAAAGCTTGGTCGTCGGGCAGGAATCTCCCAGATATGACATGCAGGGCGTGCAGAGGGTTAAAAGCTTTGTCGCCGGGCATGCATGGCGACCTCCTTGGTCGCCCGGAGTGCATAGCGACCTAGGAGGTCGCTGGGAGTGCATGGCGACCTATGGGTTGGGTTGTGCATGTCCCATGCACACGATAATTCCCTCGTCGGAAGCTGCCACGTCGTAGGTCGCCCGGAAGGCATGGCGACCTACGACCAACACTGTGCAATTCGCCCTACTTCAGCAATTAATCTTGGGAGAACGTTATCTCGTGAAATAAATAATTCCAACACATTATCTTATAGATTTAGCCATTTTCTAACTCTGCTCGACATATCAGATCCCAATTTCTTCATCTCCCTCAAGCAACGCCGCTCATCTCCTCAAATACTCCAAACGCCGGCCAGCGCGATCGGAGGCTATTCACGCTCTCAACTCCGAACGAAGACAACACCACCCCAACAAATACCATGACATCTAGGTAATTATAAATCCCTAACTCATATACATTTTTTTTGAAACCGTGAAAAATTTGTATATAAACCACGAACAAAAATTATACTAACTGGTTTTTTAGTTTCAATCTAAGAATTAAACAAATAAACTTAAAACTAAGATACAATTTGAAATACCTTATGATTCAATTCTGTTTTGATTGCTGAAAATTTTCTTTTTTCGTATTTTATTTTTGATCCTTTTTTTCTTCTGAAAAACGAAAGGATTCCGCCCCCGCTCGTTTCTGCTGAAAAAATTGAAACATAAATTTAACAATTTCCATTTTCCATCGTCACTCAAGTTGGTCGTCTCTTCCTCTTGACCGAGGGGTATTAACCCGAGGCTGACCACAACGAGCGGTGGCGCCACCACCTAGCCCAACCTTCAATCTCTCTCCCGACAACACCTATTTCTCCGATGGACACCACACAACCGCAAGGTAATTTCTAACCCCTATCTCTATTTTTTAAACATTCATTAAATTTGTATGAAAACAAAGAACAAGATTATAATTTAAATTATTTTTTTAGTTATATTCTAATATGTTAGCACATAAACAAAACGTAAAAAAAATACTAGAATACCTTGAATACTTGCTTCCGGTTTTGGATTCGAATTACTGAAAAATTCCTTCTTCTTTTTTGCTGTATTTTTATTGATCTAAAAACCTCCCCTTTTCCTTCCTCCTTGTTTACATGGTTTCGGGTTATATACCCTTACAAAGAAAGAAAAAAAACAAACAATTATGGAGCAATACGGGTGAAGCGGTATGGGCAGCGACACATCATGGTGGAGCTGAACATGGGTGAAGCGTTAGTGTGTTGTGTTGGTGGCCGACAAGTATGGTCATGAGATGAGTGTAAGCAACGTGGGTGAAGCTGGCGTGGGGGTACTGCAGCATGGACAAAAATTGGTTATTACAATCTAAAAAATCTTTAAAACTTTAAGATTATTCATCCAAACATACCTTTAGTATATGATAATTTGACTTTAATATAATTTTTTACTTAATTTAATTCTAGAAAAAATCTGAACATAATATAATCTATTGATATAACAAACAAAAATTAAATTAAATAAATATTTATTATACATCATTGCACTTTTACCTCAATCTTAATAATTTAATCGTTTCAGCTATAAATTTTCTATTGAATTTATTTTGATTTTCTAAATTTTTAGTTTTATTACTAATTCAATATGATAAAATTAATAACTTCGTTGGATCGTGGTTTGTTAATAATAATATTTGGGATTGTGTGGTTTGTAGGCAATTTATCTTTTTTTTTATTTAGAGGGGAAGTTATAGTAAATGATTAGACGACATTTGATTGATGTTTAAGTTCATAAAAAACGAAAGGAGGAGGAAATGGAGATGAACTCTTTTTAATATTTGTTTAGACGTAACATTATGATGACTATTTATAAGTAAACATAATAAATAAAGTCGATTAACAGTATATATGACTTTTTAAAAATAAGTTTAGGGAGATTTTTTAACGAGATTTATAACCTAGCATTATTAATCGAATAAAAAAAGATAAACTTTTCCCTTAAAAAAACACTTATTGGGCGGAAGAAATTGTCCAAGAAACACTTACGTATTGTACCCATTAAAATAAACCAGTATTTCATGGATCTGAGTTGTATATACCTTCTTTTTCCAATCTATCAAATGAATTATGAAATATAACACTTCCAAGTAAGGATGAACACTTCCAAACTGTTTTCATTTGTATAATTTCATGCAATCAATACCTAAACTTTGAATCGAATCCTATGTAAGAACTATATACATATCAATGAATCGGTAACCGATTCAGATTCCAATATTTGTTGTGCCTAACCGTGTTTCATGAAGATCGAACGAGTCACTTTCTCACTTTAGTTTCAACTGCTCGGATGGGCGGTGACAGCTGCGATTCGCCACCTAGAGCGGCGGTGGCACATTCGACATGTGTAAGAAGATAGTCATATATTTTCTTCCTAAGCCTATTGACCGTCTCTGTTGAAACATTCAGGGGTGTCTCACCTTCTTCTTTACTTGAACTAATTTCGTCTAACCAGTCATTGACACTCTTGAGCTGCGTCAACATCCTGGCTATTTGACCATTTTCGGATAGAGCAGACGAGTCTACATCGGCATCTAAGAATTTCTCGATGAATCCAAAGAACCAATCTTGGGATTCCATTCGCAACATATCAGCCATGTCAACAGCCTCATCAAGGCCATTTCCTCTAGTCCATATTTCCGGAGGTGGTTGGACTGCAGACTTGGGAACAAGGCTTGAACCGTTCCCGGTTTTGCGAACAACACCCTGCGCTACAAGTCTAGAAACAACTACTGTACGGGGTTTTCCTTGGGATTTTGCGGTGCCATTCCTATCAGAACTCTCGAGAAGTAATATGTTTTGGTTGGCAGGGGTAGTCTTCTGGCTTTGTGCAGGTGCTGAACCATGACTCGGCTTCGAATTATGTTCTTTTGTAAATACAGAGAAAGATGACATATCAGTAGCCAATGCAGCTTGCACCCATGAAGCTGCATATTTTCGTCTATCCGATGCAACCTTTACAGCCTCTTCTGACAGGGTTCCTTCTGATTCCGGAGATGAACCGACTAGAATAGTTCTCGATAAAGAATCCGCAACCATACGAGCATTATTCAAGCTTGTGTGAAGGGTCAAGAACCGTTCCACTGCAGGCTGAGGGTTGTCTTCCTTGGCAGAGGTCGTAAGATCAGAATATAAGCTGCAAGACAATAGCATACCAAATTTGTCATAAAAGCAAAAGACCAATCGGTTATCCAACTAGATAAAAGACATCCGAAACAAGGATAGAAACAATTGATCAAGGGATGTATAATGTAAAGACTTGCTAAATGACCTCTCGGTACATTCCATCAACATTAGCATGTTCTAGAGATTTCAGTTAAAAACTTAACACGTGCAGAGTGTTCGCAGTTGAAACCTATGACTCGTAAGATTTTACGAGCTATCACAATTACTAAAATGTTCGACAAAGTGATAAGGAGAATCAAATGCGAGACATCTAATACATTTGATGTTTCCTGGTTTTGAAATTTTCTTCAATTGCGTTTCTTTTATTGTGAAACATCTGTACCTTAAACATCGAAGTAAGCTCTCGGAAGCTGCGGCCTCTTGTAAAGCTTCTACTGCAGCTGTTTGAGCTGCAACCCTGTGTCTCATGACCTCCTGTAACAAAAAACGCAAATTCAGTATGAGGAATCACCAAAAACTACAATATATTCCACGATGCCAAAACGGGAATTAAACAGCTAATACAAGCAAACTAAACTATAGACTAAAAACAATGAACCTTAAGAACCAATTAATGGCTGCTGTCTATGTTACTCGGATGTGAGAGTCGGATAGGTATATATCCGACGCATTTGTACTTCATATTTTTCCTCAAAGAGAATTTGCTAATAGCAAATGCAACCATTTTACAAAATAATCCGTAACAAAGACTTCCATATAAAAGCTAGGAATGTTGTTGAGAACTATAGATCCCAAAAGTCGTATGTACATACCTTTCCGAGCCTCGAAAGGGAAGAGGGGAGCGAGCCCCATGAAATACCACTTCCATCCGTCAATCTTTTACTATTTATCGGAACCTTAACTAGGTTCCCCAAGCCACCATTATTAGTTGGTTCTCCGAATTTCTTCCCAACATGAGTTCTTGGCATATTTTGTTTCTCGTGGGCACTCAACATTCCATTTGCCGCAGCTTTCTTAGTTGACACCTGAAATTTGCTCTCCTCTTTTAACGGCCTTGTAGACGTCTGGAACTTAGTCCCCTCCTTGGATGGTAACTTTTCACTTGCTGTGTTTTTTCTTGAAGCCTGGCAACGAGATTTCAATTATTAGGCAAATGTTCACAAAATAGATTTAATCGCTCGGCGATGCTCAAACCGGAAGCCCCGAAGTACCTATAACTAAAACGTACTAATGCAAATAGAAGTAAAAACTAACAAGTGAACAACTAGGCAAATGTAACACATGTATGCCTATGTCATATCCATAAATCAATAGCAGAACTCAAGAATCACAGCAAATTATGTCCTTCAAGAAATACTAGTCCGGAAATTGAACAAGTATAAAACAGTAAAAACCGATGCACAACATAGGAACAAAAATGATACTGTTATATCATATTTCAAGCTTAAACTTACAGAAGAGCTCCGAGATTCTCCCTTGATATCATGCTTGGTAGTCCTCGGTGTATTCGAATGGTCCCCACCCTTCGCTTCCATATTCCCTTCCCAGATCTTTCTCAAAGCCTTGGCCCCTAACTCGGTCCCTTGAGGAAAAGTTTTAATCACAGGTACTTTTTTTCCGATCGAATTCGCCCCATGAAGAGTGCTTGCCTTCTCCACAGATCCCACCTTGGGACTTCCTTTCCTCAGCCCCTTTATTTCAGCCTGATGCTTAATCCCAGTGGCAAACTTCTCAAAAGAAGTCGGCAACGAATAACAACTCGTTGGGGAAGAAGGAATCGATTGCGAACTTAATGCCTTCAATTTCCCTAAAGAACCCCTCTTCACATCCACACTCAAAGCCGGTTTACTCAACAGAGAGTTTGATCGAGTCAAAGAATTCGTTTTCAGTTTCTTATCAGTTTGATCATCCTTTAATCCGCCATTTGATCTACTCCCAACCGATTTCCCTTTCTCCCCACCATAACCACTGCCTAACTTAACTTTCTCCCCAAGTTTTGAACCAAATGAACTTTTACTATCAAGGAAGCCAGGAGAATGAGTTGCAACAATATCCTCAGGGCTCCCTACACAAGGATGTCGACCAGGAACCGGCCGAACCCCACGAAGAATCGGAATCGGCAACGCCGATTCCAACCTGTCGACATGAATAAACTGACCTAATTGGATCTTATCACTAAGAATTAAATCATCATGCTCATCAGGCAATGATACATACGTAGCATGAGATGAATCTGAAACCTTGAGGTAAAAGCCTTGGTTAGAGAACAACTCGCCACCTGCTAATGCAGGAACTATACTCACTACTTGTAAAAGAGACGACCTATGCTCACCGGCAACCTTAACATCAGTGTTCATATGCTGTAAGAGATTCAAAAGAACACCTGGAACAAGATTTGCCATTTTCGCCACCTCCAATTTGCATTACTTTTCACACTCAAAAGATTTCCATTATGAAAGAGAGAATCAAGAGAGCCCTTGAATGAAAGAAACTGAAGAGATTAAGAAGAAAAAAGTGTTGGGGGGGGGGAACCCAACTTGAAACAAGGAATCAGTAGTCAAAAGGTGGTGATTTTGACAAACAGGTGGTAGGTGTAAGAATTAAGATTCAGAGTTTCAGAGTGCAGCCTTCTTTTGAGGCCATTAATTGCAAAGACAGAAAGGGAAAACAACAGGACAGATAACAACCCAGACCCAGAGGCCAGAAGAGATTTATTAACAAAAAAACCCGTTAATCATGGACCATCTAGAATTTTTTTGAAATAAATGAGATGAATCAAATACAACAATAATGGCAATACAACAAGGAAATAACAAATGAGGACAATTTTCCAAATATAATCCACCAAACCCAGAACTATTCAATTAACAAACAATTTATTTTCCAAAATGGGGGGGAAAAAGAGTAAATTTGGGTTTGTTTTGAAGTCACCTAACCCCCACCAGTAAAGGGTTCAAAAGGTAAAGAAAAAGCAAAAATTGAGGAGGGGTGAACTTGAAGGGAAAGCTGGAAATTTTCCAGGAAAGGGAGGTGAAAAAAAGGAAGAGAAAATCAGATTATTTGGCTCATTACATGACTGACGTAACATAGAATAGAGAGAGAGAGAGAGAGAAATAAGATGAAAATGGTGTGTCAGAACCTATATACCGTGAAGAAACTAAACTTGGAACCTGAACCTACACTATGGCTTTAAGAATTGAATTCCCAGTTCATAGACAAACAAATGGAAACTTAGGAGTAGATAATCAGAGATCAAGTAAAAATTGGTTTGAAGAAGTCTTCAAAGTTCCAAGAACTAAATAGGAAGTCTTTGGCTGTGAGAATGAGTTATTTTATAAATTTAATTTTTTTAATTAATATTTCAGTTACCCAGTAAGGTGAACTGCTTTGGAATTTATGTTTATATAAAAATCGTCTTAAAATCTCAAGATTTTAAGGTTAAAAATTTACTAATTAAAATTAGATTAGAAGGATATTGAGTACAATAATGAGGAACACCTACTTCTTGTGGAAGATTTTGTACAAAAAAGCATTGGATTCTTTAGCTTTAAAAATGGTATTAATACATCAGAACTTATTATTATTATTAAAAGGTTTGTTTACCTAAGCATTTTATTTTAGGAAATGAGAGAGAATCCAAGTGCTTTCTATATCAATTATTAATAGAGAAAATAATCTCAGTGACCAAAAATTTCAGATAATATATGATTTTGATTAATTTTTTTTGGATTTGCGAAAATGACCAACAAAATCGCAATGCGATCTTTAATTCGCATTGCGATCTCCACTATCGCAAATTCGCGTTGCGATAGTTGAAAATCGCGTTGCGATTTTTCATTTCGCGTTGCTATAGTCTACAGTTATCATTACGATTTTCAACTATCGCAACGCGAAATGGAAAATCGCAACGCGAAATGCAACGCGAATTTGCGATAGTGGAGATCGCAATGCGAATTAGAGATCGTATTGCGATTTTGTTGGTCATTTTCGTAAATCCAAAAAAAGTTGGTCAAAATCGTATATTATCTAGGATTTTTGGTCACTGAGGTTATTTTCTCTTATTAATAACTTAGGATGATGTTTCTCTCTGTATATAATTAATAAATTATATTCAAATTCGTTAAAGATTATTATTATTAATAAAAGCTCGATTAGGGATGGCAACAGGCCGAATTCGGACCAGGTATTGGTTCCCTCATCCCGTCTCCGTTTAAAAACCTCATACCCGTTCACGCTTAAAAAATAGTGGGGATTTAAACGGGGATTCCCATCGAGAAATCGGGGAAAATCACTGGGAAACGGGTATCACCGTTTAGCATAAATGGGTATCGAGCCGGGTATATATATTTAAATTAAATATATAAATATTATATATATATATTAATTTTAATTAAATTTATTAATATTATATACATATAAAATAATTATTTTTAATATTTATCGGGCCGGATAATCGGGTAATCGGGGCGGGGATTACCAAACTCATCCCCGTTTAGCATAAACGGTTTTTTCCCGTCCCCGTTTATCATCCTCGAACCCGAGCCGTTTAATTCGGTTTTCGATTTTCTCCGTCGGATTCGGATTTTTTTATCATCCTTAAGCTCGACCGAGTTGATAATATTGAAATATTAGGGTTCTCAAGGTCTCGCACTAAATTTTATCTTACATAAATTATGTATGATTTTTTCTAGTATTAAAATTTTACCTTATATGAATTATGTATGATTTATTCTAAAATTTGAGTTAATATGTAAATAATGAACGACAAAGAGAGTTGTTTGAATTTATATCAGATCGAGTCTGGAACAATGTCTAAAAGTTTTAAAAAGTAAAAAATATTCAAAATTTAATATTAATTTATTAATTATTGTAAAATTAAACTTTTAAAATTTTGAGATCTTCGGTTCGAATTCAATCAAATGTGAATCATGTATATTTTTTTCTCAAAATTTGTTTCAGATAAAGTCTAAATATATTTCAATAACGATTGATTTTGATGATCTATTTAGATATATGTTAATCGTTTTGACATTTTAATAAATTTTAATATAATTGAGATGAGATGCCATTTAACTCGTTCACTAATTAGATTTCACTTAAAAGATAATATTCAAACTTACTTTTGTTTATAATCGTCAATATTTGATTTATTAGATATTTTAGAAATTTACTATATCTGTTATCCTTTCAACTTATCTTCTTTTATTCACAAGATCCTTTATATTGTCAAAATAATTTAGTGTCATATTTTGTTAGACCAACTATTAGTCAATAAAATAATTGACTTAATTAATTATTATTATTTATATGAATTTAGTTCAAAATTATGGAACAAAACAAAAGAAATAAAGCAAAATTAATAATTAGAAAACCATAATAATATATTGCAAATAGTAAAGAGTATTAATTAGTATTTGTTGACTTAAAGTTAATAAAGACAAAGCAACATAAATGGTCACTGACCACACGAATCATTATTTAATAAGCAGTCTTCAAGCAAAAGATTCACTGTTAGTTAAGACATTGATTAATAATTAAAAAGAATAGCAAAGCATTTCCTGCTCCAAATATTTCTACCAACTTTTTAATTAAATAAGAAATGTTCTAAAGGACTCTGTTATTACTTTTTATAATATTATATATAATAATAGTTTCAACCAAAATAGATAAAAGAGTTACCAATTATTGCATTTGAATCATTTCTATTGTAGTAAGCAGTAAATTTATTTACTTTAAAATGTGTTTTAAAGCATTTTTATGTAAATATTATATATTTTACAATTAAATTTGAATTAAAATTAATTTTTTATTACTATTTAAAATGAAGTCATGTGGAATCGGTTCAAATTAAAAAAAAATAGATGTCCCACACTTGTTCCATTAACATATATATGTGTACTTTTTAATGGAAAAAAGAAACAAGTTATTCAAGAGTTAAAACCAAGACTTAAAGTTTAGACTCAAATTTGATTTAATCTAATTCAATCTATTGGATAAAATTAACAATTCATTAATACGACTATGTTATAAAATATGCTTGATGGTTTAATTTTAAATATTGTGAAAGGAAAAAATTAGATTGAAAGAATCATTTTATCATAAGCCTTTGTAACATTTATTTAAGCAATCAATAAATCGACTAAATAAAAAAATATCCCATATTTTTTAATATTTAAAAATGAAAGTAAAAAGGAATTTTGTTGTTGTTGAGATTTTATAATGCTAGGACCGGGACACTTTGATCCACCTGCATGCGACTTGTATGTGGTGTTAAACGTGAACATGTAATAATTACACATGTCGGCTGCACACAAAAAATAAAAAATAAAAAGTCGGCAAAAATTGAATTTTCATTTTCTTACCATGTAAAACATAAACTCAACGTTTGAGACATAGGATGAATAATTTGAGCAAAATATAATAAATTCACTAATAATTTACCCCTACAAACATTATAAATTCAAAAAGATTTTAAATTATATCACTCAAACTTATATATCTATTAAATACAGGTAATATTCAAATTTTAATGTAATTGAGACTTTTAAAAATTACATTCTTATATTCATATTTAAAAAATGTTAGCACAAATATTTAAGAAAAATGAAAAAACTCATATAGCGAGTGAAAAGATGTTGACAACATCAACTTCCTCCATTTGAGCCTCCATTTGAGAACCCATCAAGCTAAAGGGAGTCTTATTCTTCCTAAAAATCCCAAGTTTCAAACAATTGCATATGTGAGTGTATGTATATTGTCAATAATTAAAAAATATTCTTTACATATATTACCTTGTAATCACTCTAGACTAAAAACTACTCCACTTGCGAACTAAGACAGCATGGCTATTGCTACCAATGAGATTCTTTAGTGTACTTATAATAGAAATATGTAGTATATATATTGTATAAAAGCTACATTAAACTTCGGTTGTTTCTACTTCAAGGAAACCATTCATTATAACAATTGATAAGTTCATATCATCCTACAAAACTCCATAAAAACAACACATTAATCCAATTACAGAAAATTTTGAACTTCAACGTTTCAAAATGGCCTGAAATACAATAAAACCAAATATTAAAATTTAGCTTTCGTCGCCTATAAACTGAGCAGCCGAACAGGGACAGTCATATTTTTACAGGTCTTGAACACTCAAACCTGTAAACATGGAAAGAATTGAAAACATAAGGTTAAGACCAAGAACCTTGAAATGTTATCAACATGGTTAAAGGTAGTAAAAGCTAGATTGAAATCCCACAGGCATGGCAACAATGAGAGCAACTGGCTACAGAGCTGAGATCCATTTCGAATAAGGATTCTCGTTGAATCAAAATGAGAAATAAACAACACTCCACCATCCATGAGATATTACCAAATGGATGTAAGGGAAAAGTAGGATCTATTGTTGTGCTACCAGTTTGGCACCAAAGGGAACAGCGATTTGTTTCATCTATGGATCAAGGACCCTATGATATGCTCCCTCATTTCAAATAAGGATTTTGGTTGAACCAAAATAAAGAAAAAACATGTCCCCTCCATCATGGTCTCAACCTAGAAGCTTGAGATATTACCAACACGGTAAGAAAAAAAAACAGAATGATCAATTGTAATGCTCTGCATGTATGAAAAAAATGGGAACCAACGGTTTGTTTTGTTAGAGGTTTATAAGTCTATAATAGGTACGTCGATTTCAAGTAAGGATGCTGGTTCAATCAAAACAAGAAAAACAAGGCTCCTCAATCGTGCTCAAAGCAGAACCTTACAATATTTTACCAACATGGTAAAAGAACAGTAGGGTAGTGTCAACTGTATCCTGCTTATATGGAAGGATCGATAACAACAATTCAATTCTGCTAAGGATCTATGATTCTATGACATGCTTGTTCAATTCAAATCAGTACACTGGTTGAATAAAAAACAAAGGGAAACAAGGGCACAATCGCATCGTATCAATGTACCTGGAGGAAGGGACTGCTTCAACTTGTCAGCCTTTTCGGCATCCGACACACAAAGTGTGTACAAGTACTTGGAGCATCGGACCTTGAACTTGACAACATCTTTGCTCTTCTTGATCTTTACCGAGCGAGCATCCTTCCTCCTGGCGGTGAGAAGGAAGTCTTTGATCTCATGAATCTGCTTAGGCTGTAAATCATTAAACGGAAAACATTCATTTTAGGAACTCGGAGCATAACAGATCAAATAGGCTTTCAATTCACATCACATTTATCAATATAACAAATCAATTACAGTGAAAATCGATGGACCGCAACATCAATTTATAATTACTATTAGCATGTTAACGAATAACGACTCAAAGAACAATGAAAACACAGATTAAACCTAGAAGATCCGTAAACCACACACATTGCTTAGCAATTGAGGGGTAAACCAGAAAGATATGAAAAACAGAGCATTCAAATGCAGATAAGCTTAGTAATGAAGGAAGAAAAGAGCATCAAAATAAGAACATATTCATAGGTTTTACCATTTTCGATTGAAGAGTTCAGAGAGTACGTCGCGTTATCCCTAGCAAGAAACGGCGCTCAAAGCGTAGGATTCTTCGATATTTAACCATATATATTGCTCACAGAAAACCCTAGAGAAAATTTATATTGTATTGACCCTTTTAACCTTGTTTAATTGGTTATATGATACAGAGTTCTTATAGATATCGAACTTTTTTTTTTAAATTTAACTTGGTAAATAAATTTATTTTGATCAATTTTAATATTTAGAATCACTGTAAGTATCAATTTAAATAAAACAATAAGGTTTAAATATTTAATAAAATTAATTAATTGAAGTACCAAAACAAATATTAAGACCAACCTCAAATGTTTAATTAGGATAAAAAGATTTAAATATTAAATTGAATATTAAAAATAAAATATATATTTAAATTAGTTAAGCGACACATTATGCTTAAATATTTTACTATACAACACATAATATATAAGCATGAATTAAGTGATCTCAGTAGTTAAGAGATTTGTTGTTAATCCTTGAAGTTTTAGGTGTAAATATCGCATACACTAAGGGCATGAACGTTCGTTATTAAATGATTGAGAATCTTTGAATATATATTATCTAAGTATTAACTTCAAATTTATATATATAAAAAACATAATATATGAATCTTTTCTTTTTTACATTTTATGTTGACACGTAATATCCAATTTATATATATTATTAATGGCATAATTTCAATTAGGTCCAACCTTGGCATGCTAATATTATTATTAAATAATATATTTAGTTTTAAATATATTAAATTATAAAAAATATTATTATAATAATATTAAAAAAATATTATCATAATAAAAATAACTCAAATATATTAGATATTAATGGAAGGTAAGAATTATTAGTGAATAAGATTGCTTGTTGTTCAAGCTTTATTTTTCGTCAACTAATAAGCCCTATTAATAATGATAAGAAGATTAGGTTTTATGTCATTGAATTCTCTTCTAGTGTTCGACATCCAGTAAATTTTTTTCTTATGTTTTAACTTTAGTTGGTTCGATGGCAAATAAAAGTTTTTCTGATATTTCAAGTGATGTTTTATCAGAGATTTTAAAACATGTTTTAGAAAATTCTGTACACGATTTCTTACAAGCTTGTCAAATTTGTAAGACATTATACGAAGGTTCTAAAGACGAATATATTTTCGCAGCAACATCCTTGCATAACTATGGTTGTATGCCTTTGGAGATCGAAACAAAAAATTAATTAAAAAGGGCATTTATTGCGAGTAATCCCCAAGCTTTATATAGGGAGGGAATGGTCGAGGCTACTTATACTCTTGTTTTGCAACTGATTTGTATGGAGTCTCGAGTTTTGGAAGGTTATCGGATTTTACTCACCTTCGATATCATGTTATAAGAAAAAGGCTTTGATATCTTTATGCATTGTTGACGTGTGACTATTCGTATGATTGCCGATATTTTGATGATCAATGTAATGTTCGATTAATGTCTTATATGTTTTTTTTCATATATTTAAATTAACTAAGTTTGAGTTTTTACTTGACCCTTTTTACTATTTTGTTCGTTATTAACTGTTATAGAATATATATAAAATGTTATAATTGACTATTAAATATGAGATTTGATCTGGTGAGTAAGGCGTGCCCAATACAAGTTCTTATTTGTTTAATTTTATCTCTTATTTTTGTAATTCAATTATTATTCCTTCAATCGAAAATTAAATATATTAAATTAAAATTAAGATTAAATTAATTAAACGTATTAATAATATAAATCAAATATGTAATTATATTAGGTTTTTAACTACCACATCAATTCATTAATCAAATATTAATAATAAATGATTTAATTAATAAAATTTAAATAATTTAATAATTTAATTGACAAAATTAAATAATCAACAGTTGAAATAAAATATTGTATAATTACTAATTATTTTAAAAATATAAATATATATTAGAAAATTACTTTACGGACTATTTTTGCTCGGGGCGTTCTAAGATCACGTGCCGTGTTTCAAACACAAGATAGCCGCTGATTTGTCATGCTTTGTCTCCACACCACCCGGTTTATTTTAAACTTTGAAAGGTCAAAACTTTGAATGCCTCACGATTAACGCCGATGTCTTCTCCCCTCATATTTCCTCTTATATATATATATATAGCCTCAATTAATACCCTAACAAAGAACTAGCAAAAAGAAACTAAAGACAAGGTAAAGTTAACGACAATGGCGAGTTCAGGAGAGGTATCGTGGAAGTTAGAGGACCACCCAAAGCTTCCAAAGGGAAAGACCATCGCCGTCGTCGTTCTCGACGGCTGGGGCGAATATAAACCCGATCAATACAATTGTATCCATGTTGCCCAAACACCCACCATGGATTCCCTCAAACAGGTTCTCTTTCTTTCCTTTTATTTTCTGTTTATAATTTTGTTTTCAGATCTGGGATTTTCTCGATTTTTGATTTGATAATCGTTGTCGATGATATTAATCGGTATGGTACATGGATCTTATTTATTTATGCAAATAAAGCTTTCATACTGTTTGAAAGCTTAATTTGTAGTTTTAGATTTGTATTTTATTAGATTATGAGATTCCTATTTGGTTTTAGATCTATATATTGGTTTGTTAAATCTCATCTCATTTTTTACAGTGCATAGAACTTCTATATATGTATCAGCTTGATTCCTCCAATTTGGGGGAAATGTGTGTGTGTGTGTGTGTGTGTATTGCTTTAAATTATGGGGATTTGTAAGTATTTTGCTTATGGAGATTAATGCACTCTTTTGATTCATAAAAGGATTACAGTATGACATCATGTAACGAAGCTTAAATTGATTGAAACTGACCTTGTTGAATAGGGTGCCCCGGAAAACTGGAGACTGATCAGAGCTCATGGAACTGCTGTAGGGCTTCCAACAGAGGATGACATGGGAAACAGTGAAGTTGGTCACAATGCTCTCGGTGCTGGCCGCATTTTTTCTCAAGGGTAAGCTTATCTTCCGGATTTTTGCTGCATATATATGTATATACTTATATACTTGCTATCTTGTTGGAAAGTTAACTGTATTGCAAGTGCTCTAACATGTTAATTCATTGGACTGTAGGGCTAAGCTCGTAGATTTTGCTCTTGCCTCTGGTAAAATCTATGATGGAGAAGGATTCAAGTATATAAGTGAATCTTTTGAGAAGGGTACTCTTCACTTGATAGGATTACTTAGTGATGGAGGCGTTCACTCTCGGCTCGATCAATTGCAGGTAATGCTTGGTGATTTTGAACCGGTTACTATCTTTTGAGGTTTGGCGTCTATAATGAATTCATTTTGTTTCCATAAGTTCAGTTATTTAATTTGCTTTTACCTTTTGATGCAGTTGCTGTTGAAGGGAGCTGGTGAGCGTGGTGCTAAAAGAATCCGTGTTCACATTCTCACTGATGGTCGGGATGTTTTGGATGGCTCAAGTGTAGGCTTTGTGGAGACTCTTGAGAGTGACCTTGCAAATTTACGTGAGAAAGGTGTTGATGCCCGGATTGCGTCTGGTGGAGGCCGCATGTATGTCACAATGGACCGTTATGAGGTGAGAAATCATTGTCACAAGTCTGAAAAAGCATGTTGCACGAGCAATTTGCACTTGCTCTGTTATTTTCCTTTTTTTACTGATCTAAAAGATTTATTTGAATTGATTAAGATTGAAAATTATGTGAGTGGATCTTTTGTAGAATGACTGGAACGTTGTGAAAAGAGGATGGGATGCTCAAGTTCTCGGTGAAGCCCCACACAAGTTTACAAGTGCCGTTGAAGCTGTAAAGAAACTCAGGGAAAATGCAAACGACCAATACTTACTTCCCTTTGTCATCGTTGATGAGAACAACAAGGCTGTGGGTCCAATAGTAGATGGTGATGCTGTTGTTACCATTAACTTCCGAGCAGATCGGATGGTTATGCTTGCCAAGGCACTTGAATATCAAGATTTTGACAAATTTGATCGTGTACGATTCCCTAAAATTCGTTATGCTGGTATGCTTCAATATGACGGTGAATTGAAGCTTCCGAGCCGCTACCTTGTTTCTCCTCCCGAGATTGACAGAACATCTGGTGAATATTTGGTGCATAACGGTATCCGTACTTTTGCCTGCAGGTATGTTTAGGAAAAGTCATTCTAATCTGTACTTTTGGTTTATTGGAATATTTAATATGTTAATTGCATTCTTCGTGTATCAACAGTGAAACTGTCAAATTTGGCCATGTCACTTTCTTCTGGAACGGTAACCGCTCTGGGTGTTTCAAGCCTGAGATGGAAGAATATGTGGAAATTCCTAGTGATGTTGGCATTACATTCAATGTTCAACCTAAGATGAAGGCTTTGGAGATCGGTGAAAAGGCTAGGGATGCTATTCTGAGTGGGAAATTTGAACAGGTGATGATTAATGGAATAATACTAAATAGGCTTTTAATGCTATTCTGCTTAGCACTAGCTGAATCGTTTTTATATTATTGGTTTAGGTACGTGTGAACATACCAAACGGTGACATGGTGGGTCATACCGGAGATATCGAAGCTACGGTTGTAGCATGCAAGGCTGCTGATGATGCTGTCAAGGTATGATGGCTTGAGTTCATTCTTTAATTTTTACTATGAAATTCTAATAATTTTACATTATTTTATGAATCATAATCAGTTGCTTTTTTGCTAGTTAAAAAATATATATGATGAATTAGAATGCGGGTGTTTCTGAGGAGATGATGTTAAATGAGTTATTTATGTTTGACGTGTTTATCATCCATTATTGACATTCATACCAAAGCCGTTTATTATCGAGTAGTATTTTATATTCGATTTCATTCTCAAGCATAGCAGCAATGTCTTGCACAAAGGCGTTTCTTTATTTTTTGAATACAAAAAGGGTTTTCTTGCTTGATTATATTTTTCGGTGCAGATGATCCTTGATGCCATCGAGCAAGTTGGCGGAATGTATGTTGTGACAGCAGACCATGGCAACGCTGAGGACATGGTGAAGAGGAATAAATCTGGAGAACCTCTTAAGGACAAGGAGGGAAACCTCCAAATACTCACCTCCCACACTTG